GTATTTAAGGTTATAAACATATCCAAGAAATATTTTTATGTTGAATGAAATAGTCGTTTAAACAATATCATTGTCTTGATTCAGTGGATTATATATAATTTTTTTTTAACTTCAAATAATTTTAAAAGTTTATATTTAGTAATAAAATTTGTATTTAATTTTCTTGGAAACATGTGATTTACTTTAAATAGTGTTAGTTTTCAGAAATTATTATTTATGTTTTTTTTTTCGTCAACCTCCGTTGCCTTCAACAGGTTTATTTATAAGATATTATTTTTTTCTAAAATTTTCCTCTTTCCAACGATATTATACTTATACCTTCTGACTATCATTTCCAGAGATTCATTTTCGATCTCGTCGTAAACCAACGACTTCCTGTACTACAGTTTCCTTTAACAATACTCTCCTTATCCCTGTTGAGCAAATCCGATACCTAGGACTCCACCTGGACAAACGACTAATTTGGAATCCTCATACTAGACTGAAACGACAAGAAACCGCTCGACGTTTATGATTATTTCTGCACTTACTAGACAAACGCTCTAAACTTCCCATTAATTACAAAAGACTCATATACTTGACTATAATAAGACCTATTTGGACTTACGGAGTTGAGCTATGTGGCTCCACTAAACCATCGAATTCCTCTCGCATCCAATCCTTACAATCCAAAATCCTTCGTAAAATCCTCAATGCTCCTTACTTTGTCACAAATAAAATTATCCATAAAGATCTTAATGTTCCTTATGTTTCAGATCTGGCCCAATCCAGAAACCTATCCTTCCATAATAAACTTCAGAATCATCCCAATCCTCTCGTTTCTAACCTTGCTTCCTCTTCAATTCCTGATAACCCTCCGAGGCGTCTGAAAATAATATGGCCCCGTGATCTCCTAATGTAGTCTTATCATTAGAGTGCTACCATTGGGTAGTTACTCAGCGAGTGTTTTCATGTCATTATATCAATTATGTCCAAATTTACTTGATATATTTATGTAATACAGTTGTAAATGTCATAAAGAAATAAAAAAAAAATAAAAAAATTTCGATCTGGATAAACATTTTTTCTTCTTCTTTATTCAGTAAAGTAATATTTAGCATTTTTTCATAACTTCTAACAATCAGAGATAGTTAATTATTTAAAATAAACCAAATTAAAGTTACTTTAGAGAAAGACATTTTGAACATTTGGCATTTAAGCGCTGATAAGCGACATCAAGGGATAAGACCTAAATGATATTAAATATTACTTAATTATACATTGATACACAGAGTTCAATAAAAATCGTTTGAGCCGTTTTTTATAAAATTGTAGGTTACTGTAAGATGAAGTCATTCACTTAATTTTTGACAGATGTTAATTGATAAAAGGCCCCTTTATTGCAGAATATTAGAAATTGGAGAACAAAAGAAGAGACTTGGTTTAAACACTTCTTGACTAACGTGTTCTTGGAAAGGTCGAGAGTTCTTAACTATGTTGGAGTAATTGTCTTTGTCGCCGTCCACTTTCTAAAGTGTCTCTACATGAGAGGTTTTGAAAGCATTGTTTTTGCTTACACCAGCGCCAGTGTATTTAAAACTGTCCAATAAATAAAGATGACCCTAAAAGAGAAATAGGTACAAATGTCACTCCAATATCCACTGGGCCAAGATACCTTGTTCGCTGGGATTCCGAGATCCAAGATGTTACTGAGATTGCGAGGATAGGTGTAGTACATTTTGACTGGGAGAGGAAGTTGATGGACTCCGCGAAAAAATTCTCTAGAGTTTATATTATGTATTAAAATTATGAGTGATATTTAACATAATCAACATAATTATTGTAAAAGGAACAATAAAATGATTTATATAAAAATAAATTAATATATATATATATATATACGGAGTATCCTCTGTCCGCCTAGAACACAACTGTTCATGAAATTGTACTACTCATTGCTCAAATTGTATAACTGTAATTTACATGTATTTTGTGGTTCAGATTGAATTATTTTTTATCAACATAAAATAAACCGAACGAAACCACAGTTCTGATAAATTTTTAATTTCTTAAAAAAATCTACATCGCACCTTATTGCCATTTTAAGTTATTATATAATTATTGAAGGAAGCTAGTCGAATGTTCTACATATCATGGGTATCATATCTACATGGGTGATAAATATTTAGGACGCAGTCATTATACAATTTTTTTTAATTTGTGCCGACGTTTCAACCCAAACATGTGGGTCATCATAATCAGGACGCAGAGGTGATAAATAGTCAGGAAGCAGTCATTATATAATTTTTTATTTGTTTGTGTCAACGTTTCAACCCAAACATGTGGGTCATCTTCAGGGCGTGGTTCGAGCACTGAAGACTTTCAGGTACTATGGTTTGAAACGTTGGAACAAATTTAAAAAAAAATTGTATAAAGACTGCGTTCTCACTATTTATCAGTATGATTATATAATTATAATTATTTGTATTGCCGATTTGCAACCATAATATATATTCAACGTGTCAAGCTTCATACAAGCCCAACAATAATTTGAGCCTTTTATTTCTAATATTTTCATTGTACGTTATATTATGCTTTCTTTTTTATTTAATAATAATTATAATTATATCACAAATATGGCATAATAATTAATACACTGTATTCAAGGAGAAATGTCTAGATCAAAAAATAACTGCTTTCACCTAGGTAAAAACAAACTACCATCTCCACATGAATAAATACCATTTAAGAAAGAATAAATACCCGTACAAATTTTTATTCTAAAATCTTTATTTTGTATTAGGAGAGTTTTAGGTAACAGGAGCTTAACACATATGTAATTAAATGAACATCTGTATAATTAGTGCTAATTATAGAGCTAATGGGAGAGCTCCTGTAACCTCATACTCTCCTAAAACTAAAATAAAATATAACGTACAATAAAAAGTTTTTTATGTTATATATATATATATTTTTTACGCAGGATATATTTGAAAATATGTTAACAAACTAATTGAATATATTGCATATTTTTATCTTTATTCAAACGTTTAAGGCTGAAGTCTCAATTCTACGATACTTAACATTTACAGAGGAAAATGTGATAAAATTTTTAAATTTTTATTTTCACGTATTAATTTATTATTTCGGGTGTTCCTCAAGGGAGCCTCCTCGGTCCTATCCTTTATACAGCTGATATCCTAACCCACCCCAACACGGTCATCACCACCTATGCAGATTACACTTGTATCCTATCTGTTAATAATGACCCTTAAATTGCATCCCAAATCCTCCAATCACATATCACAAACCTTGAAGAATGGTGTCATAACTGGAGAATAAAAATAAATTCCATCAAGCGCCCCCCCTCGAAACCTGCGGTTATGCCCTCACACACAATATGTAAAATAATGATAATCTGATTTGTATGATCACCTATAGAGGAGCAACACCTTTTTCCTTTGATCTTTGCCGCCTATCTACCTGTGTGGCGCCTTCTTTTGTCCATCAAAGCAACCGTCAGACACAAGTAAAAAGTCACTTTGTTATCGCCCAACACTACACGTTTTAGCAAATTCATAGAAATTACTTCCTTTGAATAATTTATTATAATTAACTCAGTTTTAAAAATTCCCTAAAAAATAAAATTTGTTTAAAAAAAACTTCTTAATGGTATATTTAATTGAGAATATTTTTATAGGCATATTTACATAACTAGTTAGATTGTGAAAACATTATATTTTTATTTTAAGGTAGTTCAAACTAAGAAATCAAAAATATTTTTCAGTTTTTTAACATTATTCATTTTTAACTGGAAAAGTTATAGAAACATACCTATGTTATGAAGGTTGTCATCCCCTACCTTCCTTCCATGCCTAATGTTTACAAGTTGTAAAAAATCCAACTATTTTTTTTTATGTATTTTAAGTATATATAAATTTATTTTTCAATTATTTTATTATTATTTTTCTTTATTAGGAGTTTCCACTAATAGTAGGTTTCCTTGATCTAAAGTGCTTGGATGGCTTCTTTCCATAATATCCTATCTGAGGTCCTTTCTTCCCGTAGACCAAGACCCACATGGATTCCTCCACTTCGTTATCCCAGGTCTTCCTCGTCTTCTTCTTTCCCTATTTCAACATTCAATATTATGTTGTTTTATTTATTCCTTTGCCCCCCTCCAATCGAAATGGAAAGTCCGCGCATATGTCACTATTGATATGTTGGCTTCACGTCCGCTAGCGAACCACATCCGATATTTGAAAAAACGACTTAATATTATTGTCTGTGGTAAAAAAACTCTTCTTATCAAATTATTAACATCCTTAAAAAACGTGAATGACTTCATCTCATCGTATTCCACAATTTTTTTTTCTACGAAAATTCTCATAAATATGTCGTTTTCTCATTAAATCGATTAATTTAATGAGATATTAAAACTCAGAAATAGCCGTTTATTTTCCACTTGAATCGTAAGATAATATGATCATAAAATCAAGAAAAAGATGGCCTTGCAAATAGGCCGTTTGGCGTGACCTTCAACCCCAACATGTATTTTTATTTATTTCTATCTTAGAAATCGATGCATATATATATTTTTTTTTTTCATTTATATATAACGATAATTAATTTTTAAAAAAATGAAATTAACTACACGAACAATAATACTTTAAGAGATAGTTTTTAATATTTTTTTCTATAAAACATGGAGTTTTCACTATTTTCGTGGAGGCTTCAGCCCGAAAGTCCCTCCCATCCCCCGTAGATCCACCTGTGGTTTTCATATTGAATTCATTCATGTAACTTATTTCTTATCAATTTTTTTTTTACTTTAAATTATTGAGGAGGAGGAGGGGAGCGCTGAAACGATATCCTCGCCTCCGCAACATCTTTATTAGAGGAGGCGATAGCGCCCATTGCCCTTCCTTAGTCTTCGCCGATGACCTTCGATGTCTTTAACGTCCTGGAAGATGACAAGAAGATGCGGTGACGTTTCCACTGTCTGTTAGTGATGACCATTGGAACTATCGACAGACTCCACTCAAAGAGTCCACATCGCTATTAGTACCTAGCCTGCCAACTCAGAAGTATGGTCTCTCTCTACTTATGTCTGCTGGCCGTGTTTGCCGAGGGCAGTTCTGTTGGATCCTTCACATGGGCAAATAAGGTAGGAAGCAAAACTAACCCTGCTATATATATATATATCCCCGCTATATATATATATATATATATATATATATATATATATATATATATATATATATATATATATATATATATATATATATTCCTTTTTTTATTTTTAAGATCACCATTATCAATTTTAATATACATTAAAAATATATTTTTTTTAAAGATTAATATCGTTTAATAAAATAATAATGAATTCTTAAATAAATCTAAAATATAGATCGAGCTTAAAATAAATATTAAAAGCATAGCTTGAAACGAAAAAAAAAAATTTATCTTTAAAAATTTCCGCTACCATCAGATTTTTTATTTCGTTAATTTTTCATTTCTTTTCGAACTAGATTTTTTTCCCTTCTTATTTTCTAGTTAAGGATTTACAAAATATTTATTTTTAAAAAAATTACTTAAAAGTTCTTTCGATTTTGCTAAAAAATCGATCTAAAAAATACTTGTATTCTAATCAAACAAACGGCAAATTAAAATCGTGAGTAATTCATTAAAGTACAAATAATAACTCCAATCTAAGCACAGTTACTGTTTATTTTTTCATTTAATACAACTTCTCTTCAAGACCCTGAATAAATATAAGACATTTTTTTACCATAAAACTGGTCTAACTATTTTTCTTAAAAAGTTCCGTAGAACTTTGTTTCCTTAAAGTTTTCAAAGAAACTGATAAAATGGAAAAATTTCAAAACTTAACTATAAAAATATTAAACATATTATTGTTACTTCTATTGTATTATTATTATAATTTTGATTATAGTTTACAATCAGTTACAATGGAAACATTTAGATTCCGTTTAATAGCATAAAAGAAAAATTATCAGCCACTACTCTTATTTCCGCGTTTTTTATTTTATTTTATTTTTTATAAATGAGGAAATATTTTTCTTTATTTAATCATAAAATCACTTCAAATTTTATTTTGGGACATTTCTTATGACAAACTACAATGAGAAACGGTTTATTTAAAATGAAATAAACAAAATTTTAAATAAACAAAATTCAAGGTACTTAACAGGAAAAATATTTGTAAATTCAGCAGTTCTTTTTCTCGGTAAATGTGTTGAATTCTTTATTTCTAATCAATTGAAATAAGTCCTTTTAAATTCAGCGAAAAGCTATGTAAAATGTATAAACTAAAAATATTTCAATTTTAACCATCATATTAAAATAATAAGATGTCACAATAAAAAGTGAAAATCGAAAATAATATACATACATTTAAAATATTCGTATATAAACTGATTACTTATACAAATATTTACATATTTTCAAGCCTGAAATGTTATCAACACTGTTATCAATACATATTTAATCTGTTTTTTTTCCCTTCACGGCAATAATATATGTTATGTATTTTGTTTGATTTGTTTATTTATATGCATACCTAAATATAAAAGAGTAAAACCTATTCGATATCGTTTCATTGTATATTGATGCGACGAATTTAATAAAAATCGATAAAAACATTTTTTATATTTTAAACATGTGTAAAATCGATTTCATAAAGTGTCACTTCATTCGCTTTTCGTGAAAAATATGTAACTTCCCAGACAAAATTATCTTAAATAATTAACTAAAATTTCTCACGACTATTCGTTTTTCGAAGAGAACGTTCATTTTCACACAAAATTGTATTATTTCATTTTTAGTTATTAACGATTTCGATTAATTTTTAAAATATTAATTAAAATTACTATTATTTTGAAAATAATATACTTATCATAAACTTTATTTTTACATTGATTTTTACATTCACTCACCCATGTATGAAATATATAGTAAGGTAATGTATTGTGATCACGAAACTTGTCTAATAAAGGGGAATAAATGTTTCAAGGTTTCCAGAATCCAAAAAACCACGTACCAAATAGGTCTGTGTGTATTTAAACAATAGCTCAAAAATGAAATGAGTAAGAAACTGAAATTATGTATTTAAGGTAGCCTTATGCCTAGGAAGTTACAGCAAGTTTTTTTTTCCAAAATTGACTTAGTGACTACTTTTAGTTGAACATAAATTAATTTTGAAGCTAAGTTGTAATTAAAGATTATGTGATGTGTTCTCTGCACCAATTTTCTTATTATTCAAAACTGCATTCTTTTAAGGTAGATATCAATACCGTCTTCGAACCATTGTATTCAAAAATATAAACACAAACAGAAACAAGAAGGGTTTCTTCCGATCAACTTCCTGTTTATCTGATCGACAGCCAATCTGTTAATGAGTCGATATCAGAGCTTAATGATACTATTCATCATGTATCGATTAGTTATATCGATAATATATCATTACTGAAAGATCATCAACCGATTTTTTTAAAAGTTGAAACCTCATATAAACTTCAAAGGGTTTGTTCAAACGATTTAATGTTAAAATGAAATTCAGCCCTCTCTCTTTCCGAGATCAAATAATCAAGTACCAAAAAAAAAAATTATATTTAAAACATAAATTAGACAAGATACGTCAACCAGTATGAAGGTATTGATAACCACATGAACCTTACGGCAATATTACTTTAATTTGAAACAAAAGTAAAAAAAATAGCTATTTATTCAAGATATTTATTATAATATATACTGTATTACAATATAAATAAATCAAGTAAATGAGTACATAAGAGTATAATCACTTGAAAACGCTTGTTGAGAAACTACCCACAGGTATTATTCTAATATGTCTATATAAGGAGATTACGAGGCCATCTTCTTTTCAGATGTCTCGGAGGGTTATCAGGAATTGAAGAGGAAGCAAGGTTAGAAACGAGAGGATTCGGATGGCTACGAAGTTTATTATGGAAGGATAAGTATCTGGATTGGGCCAAATCGGAAACATATGGAACATTAAGGTCATTATGGATTATTTTATTTGTGACAAAGTAATGAGCATTGAAGATTTTGGATTGTAAGGATTGGATACGAGAGGAATTTGATGGTTTAGTGGAGCCCCATAGCTCAACTCCGCAAGGCCAAACAGGTCTTATTATAGTCATGTATATGAGTCTTTTGTAATTAATTGAAAGTTTAGAGTGTTTGTCTAGTAAGTGTTGGAGTAAGCGAAAACGTCGAGCAGTTTCACAATCGTTTCACTATTGTATGAGAATTCTTAGTGAGACGTTTGTCCAGATAGAGTCCTAGGTATCGGATTTGTGGGATCTTATTAAAAGGATACTGTAGGACAGGAAGTCATATGTTTACGACGAAGGGTGAGTTGATGGAATTTATTTTAATCCTCCAGTTTGACACCATTATTCAAGGTTTGTGATTTGTGATTGAAGAGTTTGGGATGCATGTGCCATATACATGGATGATAGGATACATACTGATAGGATACATGTGCCATCAGCATACGTAGTGATACAAAAAATAAATCACCAAATTACTATTTTAGTATTTTTTTTAATGAATCAGAAACCTAAAATTCGATTCTCTCAAATGGATTTATATCTGTTATTAAAGGACACTGTAGTACAGGAAGTCATAGATTTACGATGAAAAGTAAAAAATAAAAATAAAATATTAAATAAAATTCGCATTACGCGTTTGCTTGGTAAGTCTGTTAAACCCTGTTTTTGTTCATGACAGAGGTCCTAAACTTAGGCAGAAACCTCAGCATAAAATTAAATAAGGAGGTGGTCTGGAGTGGCGGTCATAAATAGACTAAATAGTGGTAAAACTATTTTATTAAAAGCCAACGTTTCAACTCGAATTTGCAGGTCTTCTTCAGGGAGGTGTGTTTAGCAAAGAGTTTCACTTAGAACTGCTGGCACTATTTCATATAAATAATGAAACTTAAAAATACATAAAATGAACACATCACGCTTAGTTTATACGTTTTTTCCTCCAACCCCTTTCAACTGATGGACAAGTGGATAGGCCGTTACCTTTTTTTACCTGCATTTGTTGGCGGTTTCCAGCAGGTCCTGTTACACAGGAATATCTTCAGGTAGGGAGAGAGACCGACTTTAGGAGTCATCATAAACTGTAACAAAATAATGTGGATTGTATTATCACCTACTGATGAGGAACACCTTCTACCTTTGATCTTTGCCGCCTATCTACCTGTGCCACGTTTCTTTGTCTCATCATTCATCATTCAAGGAGAATTCTTCGTCAATCAATTCCTCATTAACATTATTAAATAATTAATTTTCTTTTAAGAAAAAATATACTTGGGACGTGGTGATACAAAGAAAAAAAAATGTGATTCAGCGTTGATATAAAGTGGCACTTCCGGTTAGCCGATTTTAAGGAAAAGCTTGCTGCCACATCTAAGGCATATACCTATCTTAAATACATAATATCAGTTTCGTAGGTCTTTTCGTTTTCGAGCTAGGGTTCACATACACACAGACACAAAGACCATTTTTTGAGACTTGGTTATTTGGACTCAGGATACCCCAAAATGTGTATTTCCGTTGAAAACTCAGATTCAAAAATTTTCTCGATCGCAATATTTACCCTTACTATATATTACATGCATGCGTAAGTGAAAGTAAAAATGAAGTAAAAAAAAGGTACAGAAATCGGGAAATCCTCTTCATTTTAAAAGAAAATACTGGTAACTATATTTAAACTTCTTGGTAAATTGACTTCTACGAATATATTTATTTATTGAAATTTACAACTGTATTAAAAAAAAACAATCAGTAAATGTGAACAGAAGAAGAATAATGGCATGACTAGCTTTATAGAGATACTTACTAATGGTAGCACTCTATAAATAGTTTTAAAAAGAAAGATCTTGAGGCCATTTTCTATTCAGAAGCCTAAAAGGATTATCAGGTATCGAAGAAAAATGGCTGGAAACAAGTGGGTTTGGATGGGACTGGAGTTTATCATGATAGGATAGTCCGGGCCAAGGCAACGACATATGAAAATTAAAATTAACATTAGAAATAATTTTATTTCTGAAACAATATGGAACATTAAGGATTTTACAAAGGATTGAATACTATAGGAATCAGATGGTTTGGTGAAGCCCTAAAGCTCAACTCTCTACATCTATAGGTATAGATATAATAGTGGTTAATTATTAGTCCGTCGTACAGACCCTTTTTTATCAAATCATAAATATCCACCTGAAACTTCGAAAATAGCTTCATCTCATCGAATTCTACAACTATTTTATTTACAAAAATTCTTGTAATTGGGACGTTTTCAATCTGGAGGGAGGCAAACTTTGTCTATTTTTATTTATTTATTTAAAAATATAATAATCTGTCACGTGGATAATAATTATAGTGATATATGAACACATCCACACCATATATACAGAAAATATAAAATTAACAAAAGCAAAATAATAATCAAAAACTATGTACAACAAAAAATATAATAACCTAAAGTTAATTAAATTAAAAACATAAAAACACATTCATACCTATATACAATCAGACAGGGAACCCCAAGCTAGGCTTTTTCCTCCAACTATAGGAGGAAAAGCAGGACTCCAAGAGATCCCTGCGCTATCAACCGCGTCACTGGCGCTAAAGATAGTGGGGTTTGAGAGAGAGCGCTTCAAACACATACACTTATCTCTTGAGTGGAGAATCTGGCCATTGCCAGAGCTCCAAGGTATATATTACAAAAGATCTCTGGGCCACTGCCGCTTCAACCTTCGATGAAGATTGTAGGGATGAGAGAACTAGATAGGGATTGCTAGGGGATTTGGATGATTTATAAGATTGTGATGGAATTTAGAAAAATTTTCATGGATAAGGTCAAGGACAAGCGGGATGTCAAGGTCGTGATGTATGGTTGTGTTGGTTGCATAGAACGGAGCATCGACTATTTTTCGGAGGACTTTGGATTGAAAGGGTTGGATGCGTTAGATGTTAGAAAATGTCCTACAAAGTTCAAGTCCGTAGGTCCAAATAGGTTTCAGAATTGTCTGTGCAGATTTAAAGATGCTATTTCATGATCTGAGTTGGATGTGCGTATGGCGGTTTCATCAGCAAATGTTGCCAGGAAGGTATTGGGATGGACAGGGATGTTAGCGGTAAAAAGGATATAAAGGACGGGGCCCAAGACGCAACCTTGAGGAACACCGGCTTCAACTGGGTAGGAATTAGAAAATTCTGTACCACAGCGAACTCGGAGTCTGTCTATTTAATTAGGTACTAAAAACTCGCAAATACCCATTTGCTTTCCAATTGAATCGTAAAATAATTTGAGAACGAAATCGAGAAGAAAGGTGACCTTCAAAAATATTGGGCCGGTTGACCAATGTAACCTCGTAATTTTGGTTGGAAAACCCCAACCACCATCTCTCAGTATATCTTCTACAGGCAACAATCAATCACTATTATAACTAGAACTATATGGAATTGAGTTGTGAGACTCCACTAAACCATCGAATTCCTCTCGTATCCAATCCTTACAATTCAATATCCTTCGTAAAATCCTCCATGCTCCTTACTTTGTCACAAATAAAATCATCCAACGACCTTAACGTACCATGTTTCCAATTTAGCCCAACCAAATACCTGTCCTTTTATAACAAACTTCAAAACCATCCGAACCCTCTCGCTTCAAACCTTGCTTCCTCTTCGATCTCTGATAACCCTCCAAGAGCTCCGAAAAGAAGATGGCCTCGTGATCTTCTTATATAAATATATTATTAGAGTGCTTCCAGTGGGTAGTTCCTCAATAAGAGTTTTCTTGTTATAAGATACTTGTGGATACATTTCCTAGATGTATTTTTTATTTTAATACAGTTGTAAATTTCATGAATAAATAAAGAAAAAAATACATGAGATACAGTATGAAAGTTTTTGTTAAATATTGTATAATAATATCGTATATTATTGTTACAGGAAGAAAAACCTGCCTTGACATGGCCACACGGGAAGGTCTACTTCGCCCTGGCGGAAGGAGAATTCACCAGGATCCAGACCGCAGTTCTGTTCAGGAACCTCCGGAGATTGGAGGCAGTTTCCTGCGTCAGGTTCCTCCCCAAACCTCCTTCCCAGGTGGCCCACATCAAGTTCAGGAACGTGAGGCACAGGTAAATTAAAAGCATCCTTAATTACTGTTTCGTTGCTACTGCCCACTGCGCCGACTGCTAGCAGTTCGACACTGCTTTAATATTAAGGAGCACGTTGGCACTACTCGGCAGTCGGAAAGTTTGGCAGTTCTAGGTTATGTTATCATATCATGTTATCGGAGAAGAGTTTTGTTAACAATAACTAATTACGTTATATTTCCCTTTTTTTTTTTCATCAGTCCGAACAAAATTAAATGTAAAATTAGTTAACATTTTAATAAAACTATATCAAATCATTTTTGTAGGCTTGAAACAACAAGAGTAATTTACAGAGGAATTCAAATATGCCTAAATCCAACTAACATTAAATAATAGGGATAAAAATAATCTCGAATAAATACTTAATTCTAAACTTTAAAAAATATTTTTTTTTTAAGTGAAGCGGGTTTAAAACAGGGGGATTCCCTTTCATCTGTACTGTTAAATTTGGCATTAGAACATGCCATTAGGGAGGTAATGCGTACCGAGAAAGGGTTGGATCTGGGTGGGACAACATCCGTGCTGGGCTATGCTGATTCCTAAAAGATTAATATTTGCTGTGCCGAATGGTAAGCGTCCGAGGGGTAGACCGATGCGAAGGTGGGAAGATTGCATTAAAGCCGATCTGAAGGGACTGGATTTGGACGGAGAACGGTGGAGGGAGGTGTGTAATAAGCGATTGGTGGTGTCGGCATCGAACCTTCGGGTTCGCTAAGCCTTTTATTATTATTATTAAGTGAAGCGATGATTTCCTAATTATCTAACGATAAAAAATTATTCATTGTTATTTCTTAACAAATTTATCGCTGGTATACGTCACTGAGTGCATTTTTCCTAGAGCTAAATTGTTTATGAAAAAATTTGCGATTCATTAACACACCAAAACTTACAAAACAACGCCAATCTTTTACGAAACCAAGAGAATTATATTGTAAATAATTTTTTAAAGGTTGAAGTATGTATATTATTTATCACACGTATATTATTATTTTACAAAGAAATTTAAATGTACCTGAATCCAAACAACATCAAATAATTAAAAAAAAAAACATTCTTAGGGAAATACTCAAATCCACACATAAATTGGAAAATCAATTTGTCTTTTCTATTTAAAGTGCTAATTTACTGATCAACTTTGGATAAAACAGTAAAATCTTGTCTGCTGTGATTTCATTATAAATATACGATATTTAGTAATAAATTTATATATCTGTAATAATCATAAGACTTCAGGTGCGAACGGCCTCCAATAAAAATGTTAGGGGACGATAATATCGTTTCGCCCCCTCCTCCTTCTAATAATTATAAGAAAAACATTATAACAAATATGCTATAATACATAAATGAATAAAATATGTAAACTGAAATAGACTAAGAAAAGACGACTAGCTAGCTGGTAGCTACGCTAAGAACTATAAGGAGGTACTTTATTTATTATATTTATTTTTTTTTACTATTTTATCACAGCCTAAATATTCCTATTATTTGAATTTTAATTTATATTTAAGGACGTCGTAAATCAACGACTTCCTGTCCTACAGTGTCCTTTAACAATACTCCACTTATCCCTGTTGAGCAAATCCGATACCTAGGACTCCACCTGGACAAACGACTAACTTGGAATCCTCATACCAGACTGAAACGACAAGAAACTGCTCGACGTTTCCGATTACTTCAGCACTTATAGACAAACGCTCTAAACTTCCAATTAATTACAAAAGACTCATATACTTGACTATAATAAGACCTATTTGGACTTACGGAGTTGAGCTATGGGGCTCCACTAAACCATCGAATTCCTCTCGCATCCAATCCTTACAATCCAAAATCCTTCGTAAAATCCTCAATGCTCCTTACTTTGTCACTAATAAAATTATCCATAAAGATCTTAATGTTCCTTATGTTTCAGATCTGGCCCAATCCAGATACCTATCCTTTCATAATAAACTTCAGAATCATCCCAACCCTCTCGTTTCTAACCTTGCTTCCTCTTCAATTCCTGATAATCCTCTGAGGCGTCTGAAAAGAAGATGGCCCCGTGAACTCCTAATGTAGTCATATCATTAGAGTGCTACCATTGGGTAGTTACTCAGCAAGTGTATTCATGTCATTATATCAATTATGTCCAAATTTACTTGATGTATTTATGTAATACAGTTGTAAATGTCATAAAGAAATAAAAAAAAAAAAAAATTAGGGATAATAATTCACTTCTGCTGGCGACCTTTAATTGATATTTATGAGGTTCTGCAGGAAGCTGTTGAGTCAAATCCGTCCACGAGCACTCGCGAACTTGCCAGAGAGTGTGGTGTGTCGAAAGATTCTGTTAGTCGCCATCTACTATCCAAGAAGAAGGTAAAAAAGACCAGTAGACTAGTCGCTAACGAACTTACTCCACAGAAAAGTGGTTAGAAATTTGTGAAAATTTATTGAAAAATCCTTGCCTGAAAAACTCCTGCCTCGTCCACGATATAGTCCAGACCTCGCACCATCGGATTACTACTTATTTAGATCCATGGCTTATTTTCTTCAAGAGAAAAAAATTGATAATTTCGCAGAAGTTGAAATAGTTCTTTTACAGCCATCCCAAAGAATGGTATCAGCGTGGGATCGAGCAATTGGCTAGCAGATGGTTAATGACGGTAGATAACAATGGACTATACTATACAATGGAGTATTAATTTTATTTTACATCAAAGAAATAATAATACAAATATTTGGTTGAAAAACGGTCAGTTTTTTTTATACATCCTATTATATATTTTAGGCTATGTTATGTACCTATGTTATGGAAGCTGGTACCCTTCCTCTCACGTTTAATGTATATAAATTGTAATATATCGAATTGTTTTATTAAGATATTTTATACATCCATATGCATATAAAAACAACTTTACAATTTTCGGAACATTTGAATATGTAAATTTATTTTTAAATATTTAATATAATATTTGTTCGTTTCAAAATAATTATTTGAATTTTTATACATAATATAAACAACAGCACTCCTTTTTTTTTTTTTTTTTTTTTTTTTTTTTTGGTCCGTCGCCACCAATCATCAAAATCGAAAGTGATCGAAAGATCAATTTTTAAAATGACATTTCTTCATATTCTTTTATGATGAGACTGATATTTTCTATTCTAACCATAATTCTGTAGATGATCAGGCTGGTTAACATTTAATGGTACAGACATAACCTAGCCTCATAATTCAACAGCTACGGTGAGCAGTACCCAAGCACGAACGGCTGGTAGCTAGGTATGGCGGTCGCTGCTGTGAGCAGTGCCAGCGATACCGTACCTCAACACTTCAACTTTAAATTTGGTAATGGTATACAAGATCTTTGCCCGATTGGAAGTTACGGCAACGCAAATCACTCCACGAAAGCTACATATTAAATGATTTCCATAATAAAATATTATCCTAAGTCGGTAGTTAGGGCTGACCCATATCTTGCAGCACGCCACCTTCACGGTAAGCGTGCAACAATGTCCACGTCCAAATAAATTTGTTCATATATTCATACTTAAATTTAGAAAACAATTATTTTAACCGGTTACTGGCACTAATATTCGGTATTTTTGATTAATAATGAACTATTCCCTGAATTTTGATTTTTTTAAAAATAAATAGAGCTTTGCTTATTTTACACACGTAATTTATAACTAACTTAATGCCTTCTTTTCATAGGTAGTGTTGAGTATTTCTCCATATACTTACTTTTAGTTTATTTTTCTGATTATTGAAGTGAAAATTTCAACCTTTTGTACGTTTTTTGTGAAGAGTGAATTAGATTGATATACCGTACGCTTACTAAGGATATATTATACATATACCTTCTGACTAGTATTTGTGCAGATTCATTTCATTTTCACATTCATTTTCGACCTGGATAAGCATTTTTATTTTTTTTCCCCAGTATTCTATATCATATTTTTTCAAAATTCACATTTAGCCAATTTTTACATTTACTGTCAATAAAAGAGAGTTAATTTTTTTTAATAAACCACATTAAAGGTACTTTAGAGGAAGACGTTTATGAACATTGGGCATTTAAGCTCCGTAAAGTGACATCAATGGGAATAAGACCTGATCAATATTATAGACCACTTAATTATACAATGATACACTGAGTTTAATCAAAATCGTTTGAGCCATTTTTGAGAAAATTGTAAAAATGTATTTGACCGTTGATATAAAGTGGCACTTCAGGTAAGCCGATTTTTACAAAAAAAATTGCTGTAACATACAAACCTTTTTTTTTTTTTTTTTATTTATTTTAAATGATATTTACAACTGTATACAAAAAAATACATCTAGTAAATTTGCACATTGGTATAAAGACATGGAACACATGTTGAGAAACCACCCATTGGTAGCACTCTAATAATATGTCTATATTAGAAGATCACGTGGCCATCTTCTTTTCAGACGCCTCGGAGGGTTATCAGGAATCGAATAGGAAGCAAGGTTAGAGACAAGAGGGTTGGGATGGTTATGAAGTTTATTATGGAAGGACAGATATCTGGATTCGGCCAAATCTGATACATAAGGAATATTAAGGTCATTATGGATAATTTTATTTGTAACAAAGTAAGGAGCATTGAGGATTTTACGAAGGATTTTGGATTGGAAGGACTGTATGCTAGAGGAATTTGAAGGCTTGGTGGAGCCCCATAGCTCAACCCCGTAAGTCCAAATAGGCCTTATTATAGTCATGTAAATCAGTCGTTTATAATTGATTGGAAGGTTAGAGCGTTTGTCTAGTAAGTGTTGAAGTAGTCGGAAACGTCGAGCGGTTTCTTGTCGTTTCAGTCTGGTATGAGGATTCCAAGTTAGACGTTTGTCCAGATGGAGTCCTAGGTAACGGATTTGTTCAACAGGAATAAGTGAGGTGTTGTTAAAGGATACTGAAGGACAGGAAGTCATTGGTTTACGACGAAGGGTGAAGGTAATTTGATGGGATTTATTGGAATTTATT